GACGTCTACGACCGTGTGAGCGTAGGAGACGAGGGAGACAAACGTGAAAATAAGGGATGATATTGTGGCTGTGAACTGCGTCCTATGTAACAACTTCGAAACCCTTAACGTGGTCGTTCGGTCCAAGGGGACAGATGGTCTGTAACAAGTCCAGTAAAATTCAGTATTTGTAATCCGACGAACATCATCTACGATCTCAAGGATATCACGGTCAGAATGTCCGGTACTGTGAAAGTGTGTATAGAGTCCGTTGTTGGAGGAATATCGGTTGATGCAACGCTTATGCTTGCGAGCCCTAACAGACAATGCTCGTCTTGTTTGGTCAACGTATTGCAGGCCACAGCATGTGCAGGTAATGCAATACACGACACAGCGAGTTAGGCAGGTGGGAGCTTGGTGCGGTATGAAGTAGGAAGCTGCGAATACTAGGTGCATGAGAAAGCATGCGATAAGAATCGCAGTTACGCTCACATGAAACAGTGGCTGGAAGAAGGTTGGTTTGATGAAAGGAAAGGTCATAGTTACTATTAACATAGGTTACGCAATAAATAGATAAATAGCGCGAAGAGCTGCGCCTGTAGCCAATGGGCGCGCAGGGGACGCAGGCGCATGCTCATCCCCAAACGGCCAACCACCTGTAGCCATAAGGCGAACCAGATGCAGATAATAGGCCTATTGTGCCCATCTGATCGGCCTATTGTACCGATTGCGGTACGTGAAACCATGAAGTTAAATTGTAGCTTCATGGTGAGTAGCGTTTTTGCCTAAGGTGATTCATACACGCACCGCGGAAAGCGGGCTGGCGGAAGGAACAAAAGGCAAGGAAGGATCAAAGCTAGGAGCAAATAGCTCCAACTGCGGGGTGACGTACTATAAAAGCTAAATAAGGGGTGCTGGATATAAGTTGGGTGGAATTAAACGCATAAAAACTGGTGCTTCGGTTTATTTGTAGCATTATACAGTAAAAAACGAGTGTAGACGATCAAGCACTGAAACACCACAAAATGGCACGGTGACAAAACACCACAAATAAATAATAATAATAAAATAATAATAAAAAAGGGGGTGCTGGAAAGAGCAGCGTGGCGGCGAGTGCGGCAGCGTTAAACAGTAATAATGAAAAATGCCCTAACCGTGGTGACAAAATCTGGGGGGATCAAGAAGGTCGAACATATAGAAGATTCGATGCCGGGCGTGTACGAAAATGAAGGTCAAGGCAGCAAAATTTATGACCCAAACCAATTTGAAAAGGTTTCCCAGCAGAGGTAAGTTAGCGCTAATTTAAGTTGGCAGTATCTTTCCAATTTTATTCATAGATTTACAATTCTTGTTTGATTTTCTTTTTACTCGTGTTTCCAGGTTTGCTTTAATTTGCTTCTTTTGCAGTGCTTTTTTTTTCTCTTTCTTTTCACGGCTGTCTCCAGTACTTGCCTCGAGCTTTTGACTTGTATCCTCATCTTTCTTCTTTACACTGTCCCCAAATTCTGTCTGCAAAGCAACACCTGTGCTCCTCTTCATCCCCATTATAAGAGCACTGTGAAAGCAAGCAGTGTTTCAATCGTCTCCAAACCTCGGTTATTCGTGGCAAAAAACTGGCAGCACATTTCCTTCTCCTTTCCATCCATCATTCCCCATCCTCTCTTCCCTCCGAATGTACGTGGATTAGCCAGTCGATGTGGATGTGGCCACCTGTAAATCCACTTGTCCCACCCAGTTCCTCTTTTGTCAGGAACGAAACCGGCAATAGACCACCCCTCTTCCGATCTGCCTCATTTGAAATGCCGCCAGTTGCCGTGGGGTAGCCCTACCCACCATCACCCGAAAAAATTTTTAGCAAATCGTGTATGACGCTGGCCAGGTCGAGGTTTAGTAATTGTCAAAACATATTCTTTTCTGCGCTAGCGAGACACCACAGCCCTTATGGGTGTCGTTTATTCTGGCGCTTGAATGACGTCCCTGGGTGTGGGGTAACGTTGCCCTGGACACCGGGTAGCATAGTTTAGATGGAAGTGGGGATGTAGTGACAGTTTGGGCAGCAGGGATATCAGCATGTGGTGCTATGAAGTCTCATTAGTTATTTCGAAGAGATTTTTTTTTGGCAGGAAGAGATGAAGGCATTTTCTGGATGAAGATAGTCGGCCTCATATCAGGCGGCAAGGACAGCTGCTACAATTTGATGAAATGCATTGAGCATGGCCATGAGATTGTCTGCTTGGCCAATTTATACCCGTCGCCAAGTGGACAGGAAGAGATCGATAGCTACATGTATCAGTGTGTCGCCTCCAATGGTGTTCAGGTAATTTTTATAACACTCGAGAATTTCGGAAGCCATTTTAATATTTCGTTTTCTCCAGGAAAGAGTCGAAAACTGTTCTGTTGCATAAAGGAATGACGATGATGAAGATCTGAAGAATTGCAACACGATTTGCCCTGCTAATTTTTACAGACCGTTCTCGGAGATAATAATCGATTAACAAGACTCCTCTATGAACAGACAGCCAGGGGTGTTTCAAAAGGAACAAGGTGTTAACGACAAGGAAACGAAGCTGCCGGCTAAACTCTTTCGCCTTGCCCAG